TTGTAAGTGCAAGAGTTGCTGTAATAGAGAGTACTACATGTACTAGTACAGGAAACGAACACAATATACAAGGGGTTCTTTTCTCCAAAACGTTTTACTTGATCAAACAAGTTTTACTTATCAACTTCAATCCTAGCCTCACGTGTTCACAAATCACATATGATCTTGTGAACCTATCACTACCCCTTAGCCCTTTTGATAAATATCTCTTTTTACTAGACAATCTCCAATCCTCTTTGTTAAGACATATGATCTAATTGTGTTTCCGCTCTACAAAGCTCTCACACTCTCATATATACCTATGAGACAGACGGCTACCCTAGCTTTGGTCGCTACTCCACGCAAGATCTTGATTTCTTCAAATCTTCGTGAGTATATCCTCCTTACTTATTTTTAGCACAAGATAAGGAAGGTCTTCAAGCTTGGATCCTCTCCAAGTATATCCTCTAGCTTAGCTGCGTCATCTTGGGCTCTAAGCTAGCTTTCACACATCCGGTCCGGCCCATCTCCTTGAGCCCACGTCGCTCAAGACCGGCCAGTCCGTTCGTACAACCTTCTGTAGTACTTCACAACTGGTACAGGTCACTGCTACAAGTCACTGCTTCAATCCCAAAATGCTTACTTCATATTTTAGATGTTTTTCCTCTGCTTCTCAACTCTGTAGATTGAACAACTATATCAACTCATATTGAATTCTAAAACTCATTCAAACATACACTTTCAAAACTGACTTTCAAATCCTTACCAAGCAGATCAAGTTACATGTATAGGGCCGCTCACTTCCTCAATGTAGAGCTCATGTTGTTATGTTTAAGTTTTGCGGTCTAGATTCTTGTTCATCAAGGTTATTTGCACAAAAGCGCAAGCATACAAATATTTAGTTTTTGCATTTTTATAGTATTTTCATATGCAAAAGATTTGGACAACATGTTTTGGTAATTCAGAATGTTTATATGAGATATTCATCGTGTTTAGTATTTTTATATGCACAAAATATGAAATAGTTCAATAAACAGTTTATGTAAGAACTCGGAGGACCACATTAAATTTTTATTGTGTAACAAACGAACAAAAATTGTTATCAAGTATGGGTGGGGAGAAAACAGCCGTCCCATTCGAGCCATATGAAATGGAGAATCTTCTAGGATTTCCGAGAAATCACACACGAGGTGGAAGTATCGTTAGGACAGAGTAGTTAAAGCCACTTGGTA